GATTGTGGAAGAGGAAAGAGAAATAGAAAGTAAGAATGTAGAGTTCTTTGTTGAGTTACATTCATATGAAGAGAATGATAGGCCCAAGTTGAAGGGATTAGAGTGGAATCCTATTGACGAGAGTAGGGTTAGATGGTTGGAAAGACCTTTTGAAGAGGAAGAGGTTACACATGTTTTTGAGTATGGTAGAGATAAGACTCAGAATCTGGTTGGTTTTACTAAGGTGATGTTTCAAGATTGTTGGGAGGTGGTAAATGAGTACTTATTGACAGTTCTTCTAAAATGGTGTGGTAAATGCCATTATTAATGCTACTTTTATTTGCCTTATATAAAAAAAGGACAAGTTTTATGAATGAAGGATTTTAGATCAATTAGCCTTGTGTTTAGCCTTTATAAAATAATTACAAATGTGTTATCATTGAGATTGATGGAGGTACTTAACGAGACAATTTTGGTTAGGCAAGGTGTTTTTATTAAAGCAGATAAATTTTAGGTGTGACAGTGGCAGCTAATGAGGCTGTTGAGGACTGTAGGTCAAGATAGTATTGTTTTTAAAATTGACTTTAAAAAGCATATAACCATGTGGAGTAGAGTTTCTTGAATTATGTTTTGGAGATAAAAGGATTTGGTAGAAAGATGAAAGAGTGGATTAATGAATGTTTGCAATCAATGAATTTCTCTGCTATGATTAATGGAAGACCTAGGGGGAAGTTCAAAACAACTATTGGATTCACACGCAAGGTGATCATTTGTTTCATTTTCCCTTTGGCAGTTGATGGATTGAATAGATTAGTAAAAAGAGCATAAATATTTGATTTTGTGGGGGTTTTCTTGTTGGGAGAGATGATATTTTTGTGTCACATTTGCAAAAGGATAGCAGATGTATTTGGAATGGTGCCGGGATTAAGGGTCAATATGGAGAAAAGTGTGATTGTAAGTATAAATTACTCACAAGATAAAAAATTCTAGATTAGCAAGAATGTTGGGGTGTGGTGTGAGGGATTGGCCCTTAAAGTATTTAGGTCTTCCTTTGGGGGAAATCCTTTATTTATTTTTACCTTTTTGGGATCCTATTGTGAAAAAGGTAGGAAAAATGTTACATGGGTGGAAGAGATCTTGGATCTCTTGAGGGGGAAGGTTAACTTTGGTATAATCAGTTTTGGGTAGTATACCTACTTATTTTCTTTCTCTTTAAGATGTCAAGAAAAATTGTAATGAGAATTAAGAAAATGATAAGAGAATTATTGTGGAAAGGAATTGGTAGGTAAGAAGGATCATTTGGTAGATTGGGAGGTTGTGTCAAGAACTACAGTTAAAAGTGGTTTTCAGTGGAAAACTTGAGGGCAAGGAATGTAGAATTTATCAATGAACTTCTTCGTCCTTCTCCCATTTGCCTTGCTATTAAAGAGTTTTGAATTTTTATCACCCTCTTTAATCCACTTCATCCTATGATAGAGGGGTTTTTTTGAGAGGAATTGTTGGGTGGTTTTAAATCAAAACATTAGTCAGCTTCTCCTTTTCTTGAAAAGAGGGGCGGGGGGCGATGTAAATTCACAGTTTAAGCTTATTGAAGATTGCTTTTTTGGTTTCGTTTTTGCTTCTGGGTGTGGAGTCTAGTACTCTGTCTTTCATATAATTTGTGTTGAGTAAAAGTACCAAAAAGAAAAGAAAGGGTATTATGTGTTGCCATGCATGTTAGCTATATCTCCTCACCAAGAAAGGGCAATTTGGTGCAAAAATAATACTCGCTTACATGACATAAATGTTTAGACATTTTTACGTATATGAACCTATATATACAATGGAGCTAGAATTTCTCCGCAATTATGGCAACATAAAATTCATAAGTTAAAACCATAATGCTAACATAATCGGAGGCACAATCAATATATAGAAGTAATGTCTAAAAGAGCTAAAAGAAGGTTCAACTTCAAAATTCTCTAATAGTCCTATACTAGGAAGCATGAATACTTCCCGAGTAATGTCATGGCAGTGTCGGACATATGTTCGATATAGTTAGAAGTGTCTTGAATAGTGAATTTAGTCGGACACAACGAGGATACGACCAAGATTTTTTTTTTTTAATATGACTATTTACTATTCAAAAAAGTGTGATTTCTTTATTATTATTTTTTTGTGTTTATTGTTATGTAACTTATATATTATGAATGTTAATGGATGTTTGATGAAAATGGTGGATATTTATTTTAATTTATTTCAATTTTAATCAAAAAATAATATTTGCCAAGTTTTATCATTAATATTGTTATAAAATATGCTTTGTTTTTGGTGTATTATAATTCTTTTGTTTTCTAAAAAATATAAATTATTTTAATTAGCCATATTTTTGCAGTACTGGTGTCCTATATTTTTAAATTTTATCGTATCCCTGTGTCTGTATCATATCAGATATGACACTCATGCTCGTGTTTGTGCTTCCTTTGTCCGATAAAACTATAGATATACAAAACTTAACAATAAACCTTGCATCAAACAAAGAGAGTTTCAAAACAATTTTATCAATTGCACTCAAATTTTAAATGTGAAATGGAGATATCGGATCCCTAATGGGATGAGAGTCTCAGGGAAGTTTGAGTCCAATTTTATTTATTGTTTTCCAATTTTGAGTCCAATTTTTTAATGTATGAAGTTTGAGTCCATACCTCAGAATGTTTAATATTCCCTATAACTTTTTAGAATTGCAGTTTCCAATGTAACATGAAACATCTGCGGTATGTATGATGCATCCATGCTCATGGATATGGGTGTTCGTGTCTAAATTACAGCCAATATCTTCCAAATACAGTAGAATAATGACACATTAGCTCCTCATGCTACTATACTTGCTAATTGGTTGAATATTTGAGTTGCTGCTGTCTAAATGTATAAACAAACGAGTATAAATCCTCTTATATAGATTGCATAAGTGGTTGTGCGATACCCCGTTACCATGATATGGGGAATTACATAATTTGTTCTTTATTGAACAGTGGATCCAATGTGATGTGGAAATCCCATGCCCATAGCATAAAACATAGAGAGTAAAACCCCCATTTTGATAAGAGTTGGGATTAATTGAAGTTACCTTCTTTTAGACGTTCTTTAGGAGAAACCTAATATCTGGAACAACTTCCATTATTGTGGTGTTTATGTGATTTTTTCTCTTAATCTAAGTTGGTCAGTATGTACAAGTTTAAAGTAGTGGACTATGAAGGTACTTATCAAATTCTTCATTGGATATGCAGGTTACTCTTGAAGTCAAGGGAGAACCCCAGATATTGAACTTGTCAGAAAAGCTCACTGCCGGTGGCATTGCTCATAAGCTGTGGGTTGAACAACCTGAGAACATTCCCACATGTCTTGCAACAAAACCATACCCCAAATCCATTGTATCATCATTTTTCAAAAAGCTGAAACTCTGTAAGTGATGAGATTTTCAAGTGCCAACGCTAAAGTTTAATAATGAAAAGCAAGTTTTATCGCGAAAATACTATATAAAACGTAATCTACATATACGGTATTCATAATATTGCTGTTAATGAGCTCTGTACTCTTGCTGACTAAAAGTAACCCTCTTTTGCTATTCCAGTTAATAAATTATAGAAGTTATGAATATACTCGGTCTCCTCTAGCAAATTGATTTAACTCTTAACAGAAATTAGAACGAGGAATACAAAGCCATATTATTTCAGAATAATAAAAGCTCTTGCATCTCCATATTATTTCAGAAATTTGGGATTGTTCATGGTCCATACAAAAGCTTCTTGCTCTCTTGTGGGTTATGTGAACTGTCAGCCTTGTGAATCTGTTGCAGCAATCTAGGAATGGGAAGGTAAGAGGATCAGAATGGGTGATGGTGGTGTTAATGTGTTATGAAATTCCCTTTAAATTTTACAGGAAATTAGCGGCCTTTTTTGTAGTCTCTTCCTTTGCCTCGGGCTTGAAATAAATTTTGCTTTTGACGACCTTTTTTATATTGACCTCTTCCTTTATTTTCTTGCCTTCAAGTTTTTCAAACAAATCTTCTTACCAACGGATGAAGCATTTTCATTAGAAAAAAAGAAAGGCAGAAGTGAGGTGAGGAACGAGAGAAATAGAAAAATAAAGAGGACAACTTTACGAGGACAAAGGGCACAGTACCCCCTAAAAAGATTCACAATTTGTACTTTACTATCTTTGCCAGACAATAGATCATATTTTAATTCGATGGATTAATATTTTTTTAGCAATAATTTGAACTCAAATATAAATCCGCTATTTTATATTTTACAAATCCAAATTTAAATATACGTATATCCCATCAAATTATAATTAGATTCAAAATATGTGTACATTTTTATATAAATATTAAACAAATTAAGTGATTATTTAAAAATTTTAAATTAAAATTTAAATGTAATTTATTAAATTTTAATTAAAGTTATTTAAATCAAATCAAACTTTCAGATTGAATTTCGGAATGTTATCTAATACGAATATGAACCATGAAAATAAAATCCATCAAATAAACAGATTCGATTCAAATCAAAATTTTAAATTCATACTCTAATTTGAATCAATCAAAATCAAAAATAGTACTAACTGTAGTATTAAAAGTTTTACATTTTACATTGCACCCTGAATTATTGTAAATGTTCACAATGTGCCCCTTTTTACTATTTGTTTTCATTAATTTATGTTCCAAAATTGGTACAAAAAGGGACACATTCCTAGAAATTTATGGTGTAATGCAAGGTTTTTTAGAAAGTGCAAAAAGAAAGAATAAAAAAAATCAGGACTGCAGCAAAGTTGTATCAGGCCCCCTCTTCTAATGATTTGACTGCTCACACAAACAAAAAGAGATGGTCTGGGCAGTTAAGATAAGAAACAAAAATGACAATATTGAGAACCATATAGAGCCCGAATACACCAACACTGGGGTCCGACCTCAAAGCAAAAACCTGAAATTATTGCTCCAAAATAATTCAAGCAAAAACTGCTACTTAAACAAGTCGAAAGGAGAGAGAACATCATCCCTTTTGCAATCTTCTCTACAAAAATCTTCCTAAAAAATGACATAATGTTTACTCTTTCAGTACTGCGGCTTATAAAGTAGGATAAGGACAGCATTGCTACACGTAAACCTCTGTTCAGCCACAACATCCTTCCGAGATGCAAAGGGAACAGTTGACAGAACCTGACTATAATCCTTCAATTCAAACACAGGAACCTGTAAATTCAGAGTTGTAAGGAATGTAAAAAAGAACTGGGGAAACAGAAAAAGTAAAAGAAAACAGAAGATTCCTCCAATACATTTTTCATTTTTCTTCTTGGTGGATCACCTACCAAGAAATGAATGGGCACCCATTGTATATAGGTAGATGATGGATGATCTGCCAAGAAGGAAAATGGAAGGAAAAAAAACCATTAAAGGGGATCTGGATCCAAGAAAACAGTACAAAAATGTTTGATCCAGCATACAATGGGCAAAAAAAGGTACAGTATTGAGGAGAAAATGCCTCATTTTCGTAATGAACGCCACTATGTCGATAATTAATATGACTTGGGAAATATTGTTGTCTCGATGAGTACCCGTATCGTAAAAGAATTGATGTTGAGGTGATAAAAATGACCAGATCAGCTGCCTCCCTTCTGCTTGAGGGTGATCTTGTCCCCCAAGCTAAGAGCAATCCCCTGGGTCTTGCTCCTGATCCTAATATATCCACTGAGCTTACCATCAGTTTGTTTCTCAATACTCACATTCACCAAAGCATCCTCTCCAAACACACTCTTTGCATACAAGTTAGCAGCCAAAAACCCACATTCTCCTTCCAGCGCCGACCTGATACACAACCAGCCAACCAGAGTTTAACAGAACTTTTTACATGTCTACCAAGGAACATAAGTAAATAGATTTATGTTTTCCTATGGTAGCTAGGCGAGTGATGTATACTAGCTTGTAAGTTGAGTACAAAAAGTTAAGCTACCAAAATGACACCTGGCTCAGGTTCCAACTGAACTCTCTAATCAATATTTTGTTTGGAGTAAATTAGATTGCACCCCCTAACATCTGAATTTTTTTTTCCAGCCACCCATGATATTCCAATATTAGCCCCACATCTCAACATTAACAAGACCCCCTCCATCGCTAGAAAAGATGAGATATTATACTTGAAATGCCAACATTACCCCCTCCCACTTACACCTTTTTATAAAAAAATATTCATGTTTCCAAACTAGACCCGGGTTTTAGCAACTGCTCCGTTGACCCCAGATATCGTATAGTTGTCAGCATTGCAATTGAAGTTTATCGCCATCTAAACATGCCCTAACAAACGAGGCAGCTACTCCACGTATCCATGCAGGTTCTCATGCAAATTATGCAGCTAATAGGTTCACCTCTGTGATGTATTGTACAATTTGAAATTTTTATTATCACTACTTTAGATGTTTTGCATCTCCATAAGCTGCATACTAATTTTAAAGCACAATATAGACAGCAAGGAAGTAATCTTGGAGGTATTGATCAAACAAGTGAACTGGGGTATTGCATTTGAGGGCTTGCAAAGTAAATGTACTTCACAAGGGAACTGACATCATTAAGTCCTCTGGGAAGTATGTTCATGCAACTAGAAGTTCAATCCTTCCAGTTTATCACAAAAAATTATAGGAAGGGAAATGCTGCCCGGCAGAGAACTTACGTTGCAGTGAGGCACTTCATGTTCGTCGACTTGATTATATGGTCAAGAAATTCTTTCTCACGTTGAATTACGGTGTTGACAGCAACCTGCAATGAAGACCGTTAGATTAAATACTAAAATCCAAGTAGACAACAAGCAACAGCAAGACCATAAACAAAGGGTCATTGAGCCATTAAAGAAACTCATTGATATTAAAAAAAATAGACATCCAACAACAAGCCAAGAAGACACAAGAGGCCAAAGAACAGATGCAGCAATATTTAATGACAGCACATCCAGTGCTGTGGAGAACAAAAAGCCAATGCAGATAGATGCTAACTTTTAGCTGGATTGAACCCATATTCACAACATTTTTCAGAAATATAGCTTCTCACTTGGTACGGTAACACAACCAGCCAAGTAAGTGAATGTAAGCTTGTTGATAAAGCACTGAATAAATATAACTGGAAAATTTAATGCAAACTTGAATACACTACCTATAGCAAAATCAAAAAATAAATAACTAAAGAACAGTATTGAAGTCACAAGCACACAAGTGAACAGGGGAAAAAAGGATTCCGTAGGAATACAGTGCCTATGAACCCTACAAGGCATACAAATAGAATAGCAGGAATGTTCCATCCAAGGTAGTGTAATAAAACACAAAATGACAAAATACCCTTGAAAGAATATGTTGCTTCTTACATTGGAAACCACTACAAAATCAAGTCAATTTCTTTTTAAAAAACTTAAGGACCGAGATATATCTCAGAAGACTCATTTCTTTCCTTGCCAAGTAGTCCGCTAGACATCTATGCATCAAGTCTTTCACAGTGATATCACCATCTATTCAATTAAAATAACAAAGAGAGCAGATAGGAAACAATCTTATCATTGAGGTTTCTGAATGAACGGCTGTTCTTAAAACAAAATGAGATGAACGTCATTTTGACCCTAATATTGATCATGACAAGATGACTCACTGCCAATTTCAGTAAGTGGCCATTTAGATACCTTTACTGCCTCGGATAGTAACTTTAAGGTGCTGAAACTTCAGGCATTATGAAATAGTTACTTACATTGGCAGACCAAAACTTAGTTCCCTTCCGGAGGCAGATTACAATAACACCCTGACGTATTGTTGTTCCATGCTTAGAATACCTAATTGTCGCTAGTTGCATTATGATGATCTTGCATGATTTCTGATTTTCATGCTTTGGGAGTTTGATAACGGTCATTTAGGGAAATTGTGGTGTGGGTGATAACCAACTTAGTTTCTTTACCCTATGTTTTTCGTCTTTCTAGAATCACAGGAGCTTCTATTGTGGACAAGTTGGTCATGGCACAATCTAATTATATATACTGAGCTTTTGCAGTCAAATAAAATCTTGCACACGAATCTCATCACAAGTTTCCAAAACACCAGCCCTATGAAGATCCACAAATTCATACTAGAGCAACGAAAATCAGTGCCCGCGACACACAAATGTGCTAACTGCCTCACAAAGGTCAGGAAAAGTTAGATGGGAATTCAGACACTCTGATTCTATTTGCACAAAGTTCAAGCTAAATCTGGTAACTGTTGGAAGAAACCTGAAACTAACTAGTTTCATGGAAATATGAAGTGATGCAAGTACATATCCAATCTTCATACAAAAAATGCAAAAAGTAAGACTCCAAATTGATTGAACCAAGATTGAGTAATTGCATTTGACGCAGGATCACATTCAGACATATCTGACGTTTGTGTCTGAAGTCTGAACAGTCAAAATGATGGTCACAGTTGTTTGCCCAAGAAGCTAAACAGTTTTGCAACGTAGGACAATGATATAACAAAGAGCCTTATTTTAGCCTTACAGCAAACTTGGCATGGATGTAAAACAATACCCAACAATTTTGAAGGGAGCTTGAATTACCACTTGTATATCAGTTGAACATTTAGCAGCAATTGGACACCAATGGTACAAACAAATTAACCTGTTAAATCTGACAAATACTCAAGGTAACCATAACAGAAATTTGACAATGATGCCATCCAAAATGGTTCATCAACTGTATCTCTTTGTTGGTTTACTATTTGTTTTTTTCTTTTTTTTTTGGAGTGGGGGTATGTTGACTGAAACTATCTTAAAGTAAACAATTATATATCTTATCAAAAGTCCAAGTAACATCTATACCAAAGCTTCCACGCATTATTTGAAATCAAATACCCTGTACCCTAGCATAAGACACATAATTTCTTCCTTGACAGGCCTATGATTCCATTTCTGATTCAAGACATCTGTATGCAATGATTGTGGGTGCCTCACCATGTCCTTGACCACCTGGAGATGGCTGATTCAGCAGGCAGCCACTAACAAAATTACCTCTTTTTTTCCTTTCAGTCTAAGGCTTTCTAACGCAAGTTAAAACCACATTATCATTAAGCTACTGTGACCCGAAAAACCTATTTTTACAAGATATTACCAATAAGAATTCCAGATCGGTTGCTCATCAAGTAAATCAAATAAGTTCCAACTACAGATGTTCAGCCAAAGAAACATTAACATGTTTCAAGTGTCATTCAATGTTGTGAAAGATCATAATACAAAGTTTCTTAGGAAGATTCCTGTGAAAATAGAAGCCAGTGGTGTTGACAGAATTACACAAGAACCACACAATTCTAAAAAGAAGTTTGGACTAATAATAATTATCTTTACAATGATAACCACTAATAAGATGACTTTCAAATGTTCAGTCACGTCACAAATAACAAGCAAATTAATGATAAGCATATGCAATCAATCTGCAGTGGATCCATTCAATGAAAGGATGCATCAAAGATCAGGAAATGGTTGTCACTAGTTCAATCCAAACTCATTAGGTATGCACGAAACACACTTCAAAATTAAGTTATGAAAGCATCTGTAAAACAATTAAAAACCAGGTATTTCCAATATATAGTTGTATAAGTCATGAAAGGAATGGAAATGATACCTTGTTTTCCCACTCAAACTCTGCCCACATAGTCCTAAATGTGGCATCACTACAGACAGCAGGAGAGATGTAGTCCATGATATCAATGTGGATGTCATTGAGGACAACAACAGTTCGTTCTAGCACATTTGAAGTCTCATAAACGATGTTTCCAAATATGACTCCAGTCTCAGTTGAGGACACCTTGATATTTGCTTTTATCTGCTTGCTGGATTCAGGGGCTAGGGTGTAGTTCTGGGGGCGGTCTACAAGTTTAAGATCACCCATAGTTGCCAACTCCAAGCATAGATTCTGGAGGGTCTCTTTAGTACGATTGATAACAGTAACATCAAGGACAATATCATAATGATGAACTGTCACATATGCTTCAGCATACACTGGGTCACTAAATCCAGTTAGTTGAAGAATCCGGTTCAGCTTATTTGCATTATCTCCATCCTTAATGAATTCCCCAGTAGCCCGTTTTAAATCATCTTGGACCTCATCTTCCACTTCCAGCTGGCTCATGCCCTGGAATTCAAAATAACAACAAGACTCTTTTAGAAAGGAAGTATATAACATACACTAGAATCACTCAAGTACAAGAACAACCACATAAATGGCTGTCATATGCCAAAGACATGCTGATAGAAGATTAACATAGGGTAAATAAAGAAAAGAAGTTCTGTTCCTTTATAGAGAGAAGCTGTAAAAAATAAGTAACTACATTGGACAAAAGGTTCGGTCCTATATATATACAAGTTGTCCACGAGTCGAGTGATGAGGACTGCAATAATCTTTCACAAATATAGTCAACCACAATTTGTTTTTAGTTGATAACTTCCATTTTATGAAAAATACTTCAGACCTAAAGTAGATCTTACTAAAAACCCAATAACACGAGTGGCAATTGATATTGTAATCCTTATGTCAAATATTTATCCAAACCAGGGAAAATTTAAACCTAGATTAACAATAGAAACTCAGAATTTATCCATTTCATTTAGGAGAAAGCTTATCATCCATACTTTAAATATTAATTGCATAACCAAGATGTTCCCTCCAGGTCCACCTCGAACATATACACATTCCATACATAGTTATATGTCCCGAAAGATATCCTTTAAACTTTTGTAGTGGAATCTATTAATACCTATAGCTGGTCAAAGCAAACTAAACTTGCATCCCAATATTTATACCCTTTTTTCCATAAACTTAGTGCATACCAAAAGATTCATAATAAACATGCAAAAAGATGGCTTACAACATCATCAAAAATATTTACCAAGAAGTTATACGCACATAACATATTGAGTAGCCAAGCATACACTTCGATAGAGTTCCTAGGCTCAAGACCAGCAAAATTACAAGGAACGAGCGATCACCCAGTATGAAAAGTAAACATTGAGTGCTAATCCAAATTTCATGCGGAAAACTCATGGCATGCTTTCAATAATCCATGATGCAATGTAACGGCTTAATCCCACAACAAGACTATGATATCCAGCCATCAATGTATCTCAACATGTCAATTTCTTCAAAAATATTTAATCCAGATTTTATCATCTTACTCAAGTTTTATATTCATTTCTCGTAAGTGCAGCAGAACATTTCGCCATTTCCAGAGACCTCTGCTCAAGAAGTGCTCACCGTCTTGTTTTAGGTGCTTTAATACCAAGGATGAGAGTAACACCATGCGTCAATGATCACAAACACATCGGCCAAGCTTTCAGGTTTTTCACCATGGAGAAATACAATCCCTAATTAATCATGTCCATAGTTCCCCAACTATTAAGGTGAATCTCGAGCATTTCACATCACAACTCATTTGACAAAAGTAATATCACAAATTTCCATAAGATTACTAGGACAAGGAGAAATATAACCCAACATGTGAATCCATGAAGGTTTTCTAAGCTTCCCTACAGGTATCAAAAAGATATACCAACAAGGGGTTACACAGTCATTTTCAATTGAATAACAATTCTGATTTTAAGTTTCACAACCTAAACCAATCTATAAACATATGTAATGCCCCCACAGTAAGATATTTATAGTAATGGATTTCAAAATCAGATCAAACATTAATTTCGAAGTGGCTACCATTATGCAGGATTTCTGGACAGCAACAATAAATTATGAGCTTTTCTAAAGATGCTAAAGTTTAAATATTCTTCTGAAAATGTGCGTGCACAATAGGCAAACAAGGCAAGTTACTGTAAAATTAGCATCGGAACCAGACATAACTAATTAGGCTAAAACGTTATTCAGAATGACCGCCTGTGCACAAAATTTCTGGACAGTATAAATGACTTCCATAATCTCCTAGAAATTCTATAATCGGAATTTTCTCGAAAATTATTTGTATGGAATTGACTCATGGAACAGCCCGTAGTAAAAATTTTGTGCCAATTCGACATCTAAGAACCTTTCAAAAGAAACTCCACAAGGTTCATTGCAGAATCTCAAATTTCGTTGCATTATCAATGATAGACAAATATTAATAAAAATTTCCACAATTCATAATTTTGCAAGAAAGAATTTCTGGGTATTCATGCATATGTCTACTTTTAGTCCTAAAATCTGAGACAAATTCTCTGCACAGAAATCTGACAACAAAATATGTGCATAGCCTGCTAAAAATCAAAACTGGTCCTGTTATCAATGAGACAATTACATATATAAATCCACAAATGGAGAAAAAGGGAATTATCTTCCCCTGCCTCAAATTCTAGCTTTATGAAACTAGAACTTCAAGTTAAAGATATCTCCTTTGGCAGTTCTCCTATCCCAACCCAATCTTTACTATTTGCTTTAGTAAAATCTTGAGAAACACATAAATGAGAGCTAAAGAAGCATGTTGTGCCCCTCTCTTCCCTCCTCCTCTCTTTATCTCTCTTGCTCTCTCAAGATGGAAGTTGTTGGTGCACAACACTCATGGAGAGAAGCTCTCCTCTCTGTCCCATTTTTCTCTATAAATGTTTAGGTATATGCAACCAGACTCCACTTCATGAAACCAGGCAGCCTTCCCCTTCTCTTCTTGCATTTCTTATTTTACCGCTCTCCTCCCTCTAGCTTTCCAATATTATGATTTGACACCCATTAGTTTTTTACCTCTCACAATGCATTATTAATTTCATTTCAAAGTCAATGTTCAACATTAATGGGTTATGCTATTATTCTCAATTATCATGCACATACAAACACATACATATGTATTCGTGTAGTTTAAAATTCTGGGTGATCACAAAGGGATAGTGAATTTAGTAACACAAAACCATGTAATAATCCAACAGCTAACAAGAATCTGTAATATCTACAATCAAGGGAAAAGAAGTACTTTCGCAACTTCAATGAAAATATTTCAAAATCTAACTAATGGTTCAATCTAACATGAAATTTTACAGAAGCTAATTCACCTAAAAGGCAGGAGTATATGATAATCCAGTCTCCATATAACCTGATATCTTCTAAACAAACGCCCCTATTTACATATAAATTTTTATAGAACATTTTCCCACTTCTTTTTCAGATATACAGGAAAAATGAAAGGATGAAGAGGTAAGAAAAAGGAACAGGATGAAGAGATTTCCCAAGAAATAGATGTGAAGGGAAAGGAAAGTAAATGAGAAGAAGAATATGTTTCCCTCCAAGCACAGACTCGCCATATATTGGTGGAAAGATAGAGGAAATGGAGAAGCTTTTCTTCTACACATTTTCCCTTACAATTGCATCCTTGAGTCAATGCCTAAGGCAGTCCTATAAGGAAGACATTCAAATTACAAGCTTCCAGAATCACGGCAATCAGGCAATGTAATGTTGGGTTTATCAAGGATTACATACTCTAAGCATGTTACTTACTGTGTACTGCCCAAATCATCCAATAAAGTATCTGCACATAACCCTACTTTTTGTGAAAAAAGGTATACCCAATCACTCAACAGTAAAAGATTTGTGTATCCCACCTTCATATTATTCTCTTTTGAATAAGCCTTTCTAAAATTGCCAATAAACAAAAAATAAGTTATCCATGAAAACAATAAAGAACCAATCAGAAAGGTATATACAAAGACAAGTACACAATTGGATGAGGACTATGCAATTGTATGCTCAGTTGGAACCACAAACTGAAGAAAAAACAGGAGTCCTTATCAACGAAAGTATAAAACTACTCAAGTGAACATCAGTGAGAGTATTCAGGGGTCGAGCAGAAAAAAGACTAACATTCCTAACATGTAAAAGAGCTTCTTATAGAAAAAATAAAGTGTAAAAGAGCTGATGTAGAAATTCAGAAGATTTTATAGCAATTCATAACAGAAATCTATCATGTTTTTCTGGCTTTCTAAAATCAAACATACCCTCCTACTCTTCAGATGATAAAAGTCAATAAGGTCATCTGGCTGTGCATGAGAAATCTGAGCCTTTGCCTTGATTTCCTCTGTTTCCCGAAGCTGCTTATCTGACAGCATTTGAACAAAACTCTCACGGCAAGACTGCAACCAGATCTTTCTGAGATCATCCCCAGTGTTGCATAGCAATCTTATGCAAAGCACAATTCTGTCATAAGAATCATTATCAATTGGGTGCGGAAGAGCTGAAGATTGCCCCAGTTGTAGCATAGACACAATGATCAGCAACGCTTGGGTTGATGCTTTATTGACCTCTACTTTTGATGGTTGAACCTCTTCCAATCTCAGGACAAGCTTTGTCAGTGTGCATGCCACAACTGCCCCAAGGAAAAAGTCACCTGTGAGAAGAAGGGATCTCAAATTTCCAGAAGTCAGTGATCCTTGAACAACAGTAGGAGGGGAAAAAGCAGTTTCAGAGGCAGCACTCTGAGTAGCATAAGTCCCATCAGCAAGTATAGCTGGTCTTCTAGATGAAACAGTAGTTATATTATTTACTTGCTGAGACTTCTTTGAAGCATCAGCAGCTTCTCCTTCGTCTGAAGCTGAGTAAAATGGTAGTTCTCCAAGGCACTGCTTAATGTTTGCAATACCATTTTCAACTTCAGAAAGAGACAGGCAGTACTCTCCAATGATCCAAAGAGCACAGGAACAGACCCGAGCAGCTCGGATTTGGTAGAAAGTGTCCAGTAGCCTGGTTATAATAGAGACCCTTAATTTTGGATTGGTTTCAATTATCTCTCGCACAAAAACCACCACATCCATAGCTGATGCAACATTGTTGTCTCCCAAGAAATCCATCAACAAATGAACCACCGTGCTTGCCACTTCAGGGAACTTGATTGCACAAGAATGAATGGCTTGGATGAGCATCTGGCGGTACTCTCCATTCTTCTCAAGCTCCCCACTCTGGGTCTTTACAACTTCTTTCTTTAAAGTAAGAACAACCTCATTGATGTTTCTGGGAGTGATCAATTCAAGAACAATATCAGTTGTTTTCCTCCTAATGTCAAGATTCGGACTCGAGAGTGCCCTTAGCACATCCATTATCAAATCAACCATAATCTCTCTATGTGTAGATTTGAGTTCATTCAGTCGGTCAAGCACAATTAGTTTAACATTGTTGTCACTTTGAGATAGAAGAAGCTGGCAGTAGGTATTGGCTGCAGCCCTAATAGCAGTAGGTGCAGACGACAAAGACACAAGAGTGCCAGCACATTCATAAGTAACAGCAGAGGAAGGAGCATTCAAGAGAGAGATAATAATCTTTATGTACTTCCCCTTTTCTCCCTTATTTGTTTTACAAACTTTCCGGATCAACTCCAACACAACCATCTGAAGCAATTCACCCCATTCAGACACCCTATCAACATGAGTCAAAAGGTAATTAACCGCACGCTCCTGGGCACAAGTGAAAAGCATAAGAAACGCATTCCTCTTGGCTGATGGATCCTGCTCTGTTGAAAGAACCTTCTCAATCATCTCTGGTGCGTCAACAAGAAGCTGCTCACCTTGTGGAAGTTTGTAGATCGACATCACAGCAAGAATTGCATTCCTCCTGATAAATGGATGTCGATGCTCCAAATTCGCCAAAACAGACGGAATCAAAGGCTCAATGATCTCCACCTCATTCAATCGGCAAAGAAACCTCAAAGTTACACCCCGAATGTACTCATTCGGGTGCTGAAGATTATTCCTCAAATTTTGACAAATCAAAATCATTTCGGGCAAAACTTTTCCTTTAGCATCAGTTTTGTCAATTATCTCCAAATAAAGGAGCAACAGTTTTTGAATAGTGTGATCTTCAGAGGGTAACACATATCGAATAATAGTGATAAAAAGCTGAGGTAGAGTCTCACCATTCAGCAAAAGCATGACAGCTTTCTTCATGGCATCAACCTTTGCGGGAATATCGTTTCCTTCAAGAGCTTCTTTGATCTCATTGGCAATAGCTGGTGTCCCTTTGTCGAAATAAACAAGCAGAGAGCAAGATTTCTCCATGTCACTTGATGACTGATACAAAATTCAAAACTTACAGTTCAGATCCAGAATTTCGAAATCAAAATCCAAAATGTAACAACTCAAATACAAAATAGATCAAAAATGCATTAGCTCTATGACTGAACTCCAATGAATATTCTCAATTGAGATCCAGAATCAAACATTTTAATGCCCAGTAATCTAAAAATTGACGAGAATTCATTAATAATCTTTTACAACGAAAACTAATCAATGAAAATGATTAAACCCAAATAGCTTCTGCTACATGAAAACTAACCAGATCTACAACCAATTCCATTTTAGATTACTGTGAGAAAAATTAATAATCAAAAACTAGTTAATATCAAATCTTGGGCTTTCAACAAATTTGTACAGGAGAATATTAGATTATTTTGTCAGTTAAATAACCAAAAA